CCGTTAGCCCCATTTTCCCTTCTTCCTCGGGCCTTTTCATGGAAGCAACGGGACGCCCACTCATTCAGCAAAATTTGTTTTTACAAACCATTGAGCCTGTTTTTTTGTGTGGAGTTATTTTGTGTTTGCCGCCCCCCCCCCCCCCGCCCCTCCCCGGTGTTTGCCATCGGGGTTTGGGTTTTCATCGCTTGGCAACGACGTTGTAAAACAAGCCGCCCCCCCCGGTGTTTGCCATCGGGGTTTGGGTTTTCGTCGCTTGGCAACGACGTTGTAAAACAAGCCCCCCACTCGGTGTTTGCCATCGGGATTGGGTTTTAGTCACTTGGCAACGACGCTGTAAAACAAGCCAATTCACTTCGTGAACTCGGCAACCAGGTTACCGGGTTTTTTTTTTTACCTCGTTTTTTTTTTTGGCGGTAACCATAATGGTGGTCGAGTAGATCATGTCGTGCGGGGTGGAGAAACCTCACTCCGCGCAACGGGGGATGATCGCACCACGTTGTGTTAAATTGGTCAAGCATCCTCGAGGCAGTTACACAGTGCTTACAACTGTCTCTGGATGTGAAAACACCAGAAAATAAACTAAGTCATACGTAGCTGTCATCCGTACGCAAGGAAGTAAGCACAAGATGCCGAACACCCTTAGCAGGATGCAGCTCACCCTTCATGCGACTCGCCAAATACCTCACGGCGCTTCGCGCTTGGTGATGTGAGAGCCTGGTCCGGTGAGAACCCGGCGTGCTCCGTCCCGGCTTTGTAGGGATGCGAGGTCAATGGTCTAACGACTACGGCATGCACGACTATGAGTACACCCCCCCCCTCCCCGTGGTGGTTTTATTAGGCGCGTGGAAATTTCAGGGACGAGGAGGTGGCTTGCGTGATGGAACGACACTTCTTTGACAGCGCCCGCAACGCCCGCGCTCGCGCCGGAGCGGCCGAACAGCAAGGCCACAAGGAAAAGTTCATGGTGGCCCCTGGCGACTGCGGGGCCGCTGGGGCGGTCTGGTGGACTCGACGAGGTGCGGTAGGAAGGGGGAAGAAACCGCACGAGACTGGCAGATGGATGGGTAGATAGGCAGGCAGGCGTAGATATCGAGACATAGACGAGCAGACAGGCTGATGTGCAGGGAAGCAGATGGGCTGGCCGGCGTACAGACGGATAGACAGGTAGACAGAACAGACAGATAGACAGGTAGACAGAACAGACAGATAGACAGACAGGCGGACAGACAGACAGACAGACAGACAAATAAATGGACAGAGAGAGACAGTTCGCCAGGCAGACCTGCAGGCAGACTGACACACGGACAGAGGGATGGGCAGTCGTTCGGACTGACGGAAGGAGCTCAGGAAAGGGGGAGAGGGTGAGGGGAGGGGTGGAGCATGGCGTGTTGATAAAACGCTCATACTCTTGAGGGCATCAGCCGGGCCCCATGCCGACGATTGCTTTTGACCCACCACCACCACCACCACTGCGAACAGGGGAGTGACGTACAACAAGCTCTTGGGAATGCGGTTCAGCCGGTGTCCAAACGTGCTCTCAGGCATCCCACCGTATCTGCCAGTAGACTTGCCCCCGACAAGTGAAGAGCATGATAACCTTCGGGCGGGCTCGAATAGCCTTTGTGATCTCACGAAGCTTGTTGCGAACCCGTCCCTTCTCCCCACCGCCGTATCTCTGCTGTTCGCTCGTTACACAAAGCTAATCCCGTAGTTTTTCTTTCTACATTGCTTGGCTCTACCTTTTACCATTCTACAGCCCGGCTTTCTCCCCACCAACCCATATACATTCAACACCGTCACTTGTGCTCTCTCTCGATGACCACCCTCGGCGGATGTATGTAACTATCCAGCGCATCTGGACGGAGGGGCGGCGGTTTCTGGCCCCGGGGTGCAGACGCTGGACATTCTCGTCGTCGTCGTGCCACCAGAGACTCTGCTCGACCGACTAGGCCGTCCGGGAGCGGGGGGCCGGGGTCCCGGAGACGGCGGCGGCGGCGGCGGCAGCGACTTGTTCCGGGGTCTGGGTCAGTTCGTGGACGGCATTAGGTGTGTGGTGTTGGAACAGCAGCTCTCATCGGCGACCGGTCGAAGGGGGGGGAGGGGGTATCAAGACCGTAAGCACCGGGACCCTTCCCCCCCCCCCTTATCTTGGTAGTCGGGGTTGACTCAGTCCAGAAAGGGGGAGGGAGCTTGTTGGACGAAATATGTTCGTGGATATGAGCCGGGTGTTCGAGTAGCGGTTACTCCTCGGGATTTTCCCGCACATAACAGTTCGCCTCCTTTCCGGTTCAGTACGGTACGATATGATACGGTACAGTATGATACGGTACGGTTCGGCACGGTTCGGTATGATGCGGTATGCTTCGGCGCGGTGCGGTACGGCACGGTTCGGCGGGGTGCGGTTCGGTACGGTATGGTACGGTGGGGTACAGGCGCAGTGCGGTACGGTTCGGTACGATACTCACGCTGATAGGAATAGACTTGTTGGGAATGATGAGCAAGGAGGAGCTGCACGACGCTGTTATGGACAGGAATGTGGTGTTGTCCTCGAAGGACAGCAGTGTGGAAGCTGCTAGTTTTTCTTGGTTTGCTTGGGATTCCGTGTGGTATTATTGCGGTTCGACACTCCCCCCCGAGCCCTCTTCGCATCTTCGATAGAGATTAGCTCGTAAGTTAAATATTGAGGCAAGATCGAAACAACAACACATTTTGTCCACATCTGACCCCCCTCCCCCCCCTCCCCCCCCTTTCTCTCGCGATTTCTCGGATGCGGTGCTCTGCCCTTGCCGTCGTAGATCATCGGCCGCGGGATTCAGTCGCTTGGTGCTCGTTCTTGAGGGGGCGAAGGCCGCCATAGACAAGCGGTGGGCCGCCTCGGCGCATAGGTAGGTGCAGTTTTTTTTTTGTAAACAGCAACAGCAGCAGTACCGTAGTGGCTATTTAGGCACTGCTGTGTTTGGTGGTGTGGTTGTCAGCTCGGGAACCAATAATTTGTGTAGTTATATCTCAGCGTGGGGAGACCGGGATGTACACACCCCAACCGGATTTAAACATCCTTCGTTTCTTCCGATCTGTTGGCGTTTCTTTTGTCTTTCTTCTTTCTGTGTTGCCACTGCTGTACTGCTGCTGCTGATGATGGCGATGATGATGGCTCGGGTGCCCCACCTTTTGTGTGCTTGATGTTTGCCTGTTTCGGCGGGGACCAGCAGCAGCAGCAGCGGCAATGGCAAGGGGCCCGCCGGACGATGCGCGAGAGACGACGAGTTCGAGGACGCGCAGTGCTGGCTCCTCATCCACAAGGTGGGGAGGGGCTAGATTTCCCGCTCTCGCTCTTGCTCGTGGTATGCAGTTTCACAGGCTTGTATATCCTTCCCTTCCCCCCCAAAGGCGTTCCCGGCTTCGAAAACTGCGGGGTAAAAGGAAAGGCGTGTGGCCTTTCCCTGTGGTGGACGGAAAGATCCGGGGGATGGGTGGCGATAGCCGCGCAGCGTATATGATCTTGTAGTTTTTTTTCGTGCGTGCATTGAATATTAATTGCATGCTCCATGTTTTGTTCAACGCGTAAGGTGGTGTCCTGAACGGTCAAAGAGAGGGGGGGGGGGGATGACGGAGAGTCACAATCGTTGGCGTGAGTGCCGTGCGGCACTTTTCAATTTCCTGGTTTGCTGCGGACCACGTCTGTCTCCTCTCTCCTCTTTTGTCGGCCTGAACGGGGTGGGTGCTCGCTGATTTCGTGCGTCTTTTTGTTGTTGTTGTTTTGCTCGGCAGGAAGTGGAGACTCGGCTTACCAAGAACAGCGAGGAGACCGGCCAGTACCTCTGGGACCTCACCAAGTCTCTCTCGAGCATGCCCTACAAGGCGAGAAGATTATTGTAGCGCGCAAGACTATTTGCGCTTGTTTGGGCTTATTCACGTTGTTTAAAACAAGGCTGTCCTACTGGTGCATCTGCGCTTCTTTCTTGCGTTTGAAACCTCCCATGTGATGGGAACTGCCTGCCGGCCTCGCGTGTACCTGCCTGCCTGCCTGCCTGCCTGCCTGCCTGCCTGCCTGCCTGTTCACAGAATCGTCTTCACACGAAATTTCAACATAAAAAACAAGGAACCCTTCTCGCGACGACCGGCGCCAGTCCTCTCGTCCAGCGTGGAATCCAAAGTGAACCCTGGAGCATGATATCCTTTTATTCCGTTCTTGGACTTTCTTCGGGTGCTTCCAAAGCAAACGAAACACGCTTTTTCATGGTCCTTTTCTGAAAAGTTCACGAACGTGACCTGCTGCGTGTGCGCAATGAATTCGTTGTTGATTGCTCTCGTCGATGTCAAAGGATGATGTGACGGAGCTCCACTGCGTCGCTCGGAGCAAGACCGAGGCGAGAGGGTCCGAGCGGTTCCCCGAGAAGGAGAAAGAACTCATGGACACCTGGGTGAGTCGGTGAATACCACAGACCTGGAAAAAACCGAAGAACGTCATTTTCCATCTGTTCTTTGACAGTCAAATTCTCTGTGGCCTGTTAGAGTGGAAATAGCTTGCGCCGACGACACGGAGGTCGGATGTAATACTTTTCGGTGTTGTGACACGGGGAAGTTACGCCGAGAAAACGTATGTTGAACAAGATTCCTCGTCTTGGGACCACCAACTGGGCCAATCACGCTGTTGCAGCAGTCTTGGGCGATTGGGCATCCGAGCGGTATAGTACAACCCCCCGCCATCAAACATTCCCCGATGTACGGCATTCCCACCTCCCTCCCCCCAAGTAACCGAAGACACGTATGAAGAAAGAGGCGTGCCTCACGAAGACGATAACATAATACTACACCCTTCCTTACCTGTGCTTGTGTACGGAAGAACTGTTGTGCTTGTCAAAACCTATGCACGTTTTCGGATGTTGGCCTCAGAAAAGTTGTTTTTTTTGCAAAACTTGTCTTTCATGCCGCGTATACCCGCCAACAACAGGTGAGAATGCTCGAGCAAGTGCAGCACGTGAGCGGCAACAAGGCCGTCGAGATCGCGGCGCACTACCCTCTCCCGCGCGACCTGGTGGCCGCCCTGTCGGACCCATCCGTGCCAGAAGGGGATAGGGCCGGCCTGCTGCAGAGGAAGATGGGCAGCAGCTCGGAGCAGCGGAAGTGCGCGCGGCGGGTGTTTGAACTCTTCACCCAGGAGGACGGAGATTTCGTTATCGATTGAATCGGTTGGCAGCAGCTGGACTTGCGGCACTCGCAGTGTGTCTCCAGCGCCGCCCCCGCTGCCGCTACCGCCGCCGCCGCCACTGCAGCGCCGCCGCCGCTCCTAAAAAGCGGAAGGATAAAATCAATTTTTCGTGGTAGTGGCTGCTTTGGAAAACGTTGTCATTTGCCTTGTCGTTGCGACGAAACTATTGTAGGCGCCGCGCAATCACCCGTGCCGGGCGTTCGAAACCTTGAAACAGCATTTGTGTGTAGATATTTTCAGGGTGAAGGCTGTGGGGCATGGCGGCCGCTCGACGTTCGCAAACGCGGAGCAATGTGTTACGTGCTGTAGTTTTTTCTTGTGTAGTCCACATGGGGGAGTGACGTGATGTACGTGTACTTGGGGCGACCTTGTACGTGGTTGCTCCGCCTGGTCTGCCCTTAAAGGCCTGACCCGGCCTCGACTGTCTCTCCTTCCCTACCGTTAACACTGCGGTTGTTGATGCGGTTATTTGTTTGTAGGGTTGCACATCTCGGTGTCCACGTGTGTATGGTGAGACGAATGCCTTTGGAATGTCAGTAAGTAACAAGGAAGTGTTTTTCGTTTGGAGGCTTCGCGCTTTCGAAGGCCGTAGTAATGCGAACGTTTTGATAACAAAAGAAGTTCCTTCGTTTGGAGGCTTCGTGCTTTCGAAGGCCGTAGTAATGCCAACGTTTGGGGAGCGAACTGCAGCCGGCAAGCCGTCCTCGTGTAGTACCTGGTAGGCGGTGGTGAACTTCCGCGTGCCCCGAGTAAACCAACGCTCCGGGCTGATATTTATCGAACGCTGGTAGATGTTTTTCTTGCGAGGGTAGGCCCTGTTATGTGTGTGTGATTCTTGTTTTTTGTGCTATGTTTAGCGATCACATGAGGATGTACGAGTGGATGCCAATCCGGCATTTCTGCAGAACGGGTGCTATGTACGACCGATTCGGCGTTGATACGTGGGGCGTTGTGCCTGTATTTTTACTTCTTGGCTGGGGCAATCAAGCACACCCACTCTCTTTCAAACATCTTGCATGATGCTTTTTTCATTTTCAGGGCTGCGTGCAGAGATGTCACAATTTTGTTTGAGCTCAGACATGCGCGGTCCATTTCCCCCCCTGACAAGCAAGCATTCTTCTTACGGTATTTACCGCGATTTCCCCCCTCTGCCGTCGTGCCAGCCCGTGTCGGTGGGGACAATACAAAGATAAAACTTTGTTTCGCGGCGACACTGTCGAGCAGCCTAGGCGGGCAGATTCTTGTTGTTGGCCATTTCGCACTCTCTGTGTGCATGTGTTAGAGATAGAAGAGTGCTGGATCTCACTCCGCGTCCTTTTATAGCCTTCGCCCCCTTGGTTGATGTGCTCAGCTTCTTGTTCGGCGGGGTTTCCTGTGGCCGAGGGCATGAGGTTTAGGGAGAAAGGGACAAACGGTGTCCAGAGGCCCTATGCGCGACAGCGAAACGAAAATACAACACTCGAACCAAAAATATTTTGCAATTTTTGCGGGGGTGGGGTGGCCTCGTGGTGTTAATGATGGAGACGTGTGCTCCATGTTATGTGGTACCTGCCGTGAGGACCGTGAGGACCGTGAGGACCATTTGTCCCTTTCCGAACACGAGGAGACGCCGGGATTAGGTGCAGGTCTTTGATCGGACCCACATCGGCGGTGGTTTCTCGCGATGGGAGACGGCCATGGGCCATCCAGTATGTTGCTCTTTCCCTAGGCACAGCTACCTCTCCATGGGGAAACAATCCCGCCGTCATGCGAATCGCTGGGTGTCTCACTGTCCCGTTCAAACACCTCATTCTTCCCTACCACACATAATATGTCTCCGCACGAGTTAAAGTATATTGTACAGTTTTCCCTGGAAAACAAGCAAACATCAGGAATTTTTTTCCCGAACCCGTGTGTGTTCGAACTCGAGGTACATCGGGGCTCTCTCTCCTTTCTCTCCACGCACAACGACGCGGGTCCTTCAAACTCTACCGACTTTTGCTCCTCCATGCACGAACGTGTGAAAGAACGTGCTTGCTTGGGCACCGGTGTCGCCTCGTTTGAAAATCCCCGCGACGGAAGTCGAGGTCTAGGTCGCGCGAAGGCACCGCCGAGATCTCGTGCGCGTAGCTTTCGTGAGGGTCAGAGAAACCTCTACCGAAATAGAAAAAGCGACCTAAAAAAAAACGGTTCGCTTAGGCTACATTTTCTTGTTTTTTAATTGCTTTGGGAGCAGAAACCAATCCTTAGCAGGATTAGAAACGATGGATGCTAGCGTCCTTCCTTGTGCGTGCTACATGCATGTGGGTACATATTATCGATGCATGTGTTGACAAGTGATAGATAGCGGGTAGGCCTAGAAGTAAGTGTGCCTGTATCGATCCTTTGAGCATGGTGGCTAGACCCGCCGAAACCTGGAAGGCTTGGCTATTCTGTGATTCACGGCACTCCCCCTATTCTCACTGGCAAGATTTTGACTTTCGGCTTTCATCCGTCGTTCCGTCTTAGGGCGTCTCATTCCTCGACTCTCTTCTCAGTCTCTTTCCCCCGCGGCTGAAAGAAAAAACACTAGCTGAGGCCGTGCCACCTGAAACCTCTCAGCCCAACAACAAATGATGCGTAAAGACCCGGCAACTGGGTAGATTCTCCATCGATAGCCGTTGGATTGACACCTTGTCCAGGCCCGATGTACAGTAGGTCCTTCGGGCACCGAGTAAGGTACGGCAGCGTCGGAAGGGCCAGAGACCGCTAGGGGATCCAGCACGGGAGCTCTCCCGTTCGTGTTAGCCAAACACCATCACTCGGGCTTCGGCATTCTCGTTCATGACAACAAGAGTACGATATTCATCACGCGCCATCCACAATATATATTCTACCGCACCGTTAAATACTCTACCCACCACCAAATACTATTTCCTCGTGCCTCCTGCAGCTAACCACACGAGACGCTCTATCCCGGCGACATAGGCCTGCTTCACTCGCAAGCGCAATTTTGGGGCCACAATATATACATCGCAGGGAGTTTTCGCTGGGATACGCGGGAACTCACCCTTTCGTAACCCTTAAGAAGGCCCCTCATGCACACACACTTATTCGATCAGCACCGCCACCCCTGCTCTGATTCCAGCTAGTTCCGCTAATATTTGGGCCACAACGTGCACTGTGCGTGCTCTATACGATCAGGCATCAATCTACGGTGTTCTTGGAGATAAAACAGTCGTCGCAGACGCCTACACCTCGAACCGCGGCTGTGGTCCCTGACGCACCAACGCCTCGGGGATGGGTACGTTCTTCCACCACGCACCGTTTTCCTTAGCATTCTCTACCTCCAGCCAGGATGGCGCTCGGCCGCCGCCACCGGGCTCGACCTGCCCGTCCGCCGTGAAAACTATGCCGTGGTCAGCAGCATCATCGACGACGGAGAGCAGGCGGTGGATGCAAGCGGGCAGAGTCCTCACGTCGAGGGTCGTCTTGCCGCCCGCGTTACCGGGAGACGGCGATGTTGCCGCGGCCGTCGAAGCCGCGGCCATTTCTGGCGCGTCGGCTGAAGCTGCGGCTTGAAGCGCAGTTGTTGTCCGAGCCCACAGCCGGTGGTGCTCGAGGCAGAGCCCCACAGTTCTCATGTTGATGCGCTCCCGAGGGTCAGCAGCCAGCATCGCGCCCAACACCTTTCGCACCTGCGTCGTGTGTTGTTGGTTGTGGGTGTCTAATTAGTGTGCCGCGAGGGTGATGTTGTTTTCTGGTTCTGTGATCTCTGCGTTCTACCGCAGACCGACCCGCTTCTGGGATCTTCCAGGGTCGTGCGGGGGGGCATCGTGATCATCTCTTGGCATGGACTTCTCAATGGAGATGATCTTGTCCCAACGCGTTGAATGTCTTTGCGTCGTCATACCCGTGGAATCGAACAGTCAAGGTTTGATGAAGACAAACACATGCAACCTACTTGGGGCAGGTGCTGGAAAGCCTCTTGGTCTGGCCACACTCGCGGGGACAGAATGAAGTCGTCTAGCTTTGCCGTCTTGGCAAGCATGCCCAAGTACACTTCCTGGGGGATCAATCAAGCACAACAACGCGGGGCAAAAAAACGGAAATGTTTCACCGATGCGCAACGTGGGGGGGCAAAAGGATTGTTCTTGATCGCGTCATTCCAGGTTCGTTTGTATACGTCAGAGAACTGCGGGAGCATTAAAGGTTCTATGCAACTTGGGAGCAAAATGTGTTATGAACACTTTTTTCTTCGTTCGTGCAGCCAGGTACTGGCGAGATATTACCAAACTCCGTCACAGACTTCTTCGTTTCTTCAACTCCTAATAGTCGGACTGTCCAGCCGTACACGAAGTAGCGGAAGTACCCTTGCCTCCCGGTGCCTGAGAATGCCGGAGTTGCGCTCCCTGTTTCAGCATCGAGACCCTTCCTTCAAACTGACCGGTGTTGATACCGAATCCCATCCAATCAACTTGCAAAATAAGCATCGTGAGGCCTGTATCTGTTCCACAATCCTGAAACGTATTCATTGTCCAGACGAAAGCTTCTGAGAGCCACACTATCTACTCCCAGGAAAACTCAGCAATCCACGCTAACGGGCTTGGTGGGGCGGCGAATACGTCACCAGACGGTGGTGCGGACTCACCCTCATAAAAATGAGCGCCGCCGATGCCATTTCCTGCCTGTGCTTGTTCCTCTGCTCATGGGTGATGTAAAGGTTTCGGTGCGCAACCAGGAAGGCTTCTACGGCCTGGCTTTTCCAAGGCTGGCAATCCTTGAGGAAGAGGCGGTCGAAGTGCTGGTTCAGCGTCTGCGTGCGTGTGCATTTGCGGCAAAGGGAAGGGTGCGTGAATCGTGAGCCTTGGGTGCTGCAGGAGAGAGAGATGAAACGACGCCTGCTTATGGTACGATCGGTTCGTGGTCAGAACCGATGAAAGAAATGGCGTGCACACCACAATACATGAGCGTGCCTCGGTTCTTCTGTAGATGCCATTCTGCCCGATAGATGTATATGCCCAGAATCGCAGGCACAAGGGATTCCGAGAAGTAGTGCATCACGCGTTCAACTTCGTAGCTCACCAAACTCGCCCTCACGAATACTTGTGGGGATAACTGACGCAATCGGACCTACAGGAGCAACTACCGCAACGGCCTCCCGCTCACTTCGTGGTGGGTTGGCAGAAAACTCAAGCGTGAGGTTGCCCGCAGCACAACCATGCCCATGGACCATACGTCCATCGATGCTGCCAGGGGAATTTTCTTCCCCCAAAAGATGCTCACGGCCTCGGGAGGCGTGAACGGCAGCGTCACGTCTCCGACGTTGTCAACCCCAAGCCCTGTTCGCGCAAAGTCGAACATGGGGTTAGTATAACTGACGGTCATATGGTTTTGGGGGCATCGGCGCTGACACAGGGTGAGGTCAGGATGCTCTCACGTACGATAGCAGTCAGAGCTAGACTTCACCTACACACGCCTCGGACGATTGGTCGGTAGATTGTTACCGTCGACGTCCTTCCTTGCCTGGGTTGATCAGACTACCTGCTATCCCACAAAGACTGTCTGTTGTGATTTATTTTCGCCGTCGGGTGGACGACGATGGACGACACAACAGTCGCTCCCAAACTTTCCATACACGTTTTGTCCGGTGTTTTGTCGTATGCATGTCCCACTTCTCTCTCTCTCTACTCTCTTTACCAGAACAGTGCGACAATATCATGCTCACTTCCCGCAGCCCCGAAGTCGGATATCTTGCACTGGCTGAGGTCTTGGGACACGAGCATGTTGGCAGGCTTGACGTCGCCGTGCGCAAAGCCCATCTCGTGCATGTACGCCAACCCTCGGGCCACACCACAGCAGAGTCTTTACGGCGATGTGGAGGGGAGCATTGGTCCACCAGAGGTTGGAGATTGCGTTGGTGTGGTGTTGGGGAGGGAGAACACCACAAGGAGTACGGGCAGCACGGGGGCGGGGATAGGGAAGGCGGGGGTGGCAGAGTTTTGAGAGGACGTGTTAAGTTATGCCGTGGTTCATTCGTGCGGCAGTTGTTGGGAAAGTGGGAAGAAGGACGGGGGGTGGAGACGGGAACATGGGAATGGCGTTCGCATACCCTTTTGAGGCTGATGCGGCTTGATCATTTTTCGCTGTCTGTTCAGGGCAGATATCCAGATGGGGAGAGAAGAAGAGAGAAAGAAGAGTACTTCTTGTGCTGTACCAACATACCGATTTCAACAGGCACAGTGGACAACCGCCACCGATTTTTTTCAAAACAGTCGAGATTGTTGACTCCCTACTATTCTCCCTTAGAGCCTTGTCAACTACATGTCAAGTGTTCGAAGGCATAAATAAGCGCGTTGCCCACTTACCCGACCATCTCATCGTGAGACACCCGGCGGAGCTCTCGGATTGTGCAGCTGAGGAGTCTCTCCAGGTCTATGCCCATCTTCTCCATCACGATGCTCCGCGTCTCTACGTTTGTTGCGAACACGTTGACGATGTTCGTGTGGCAGGCAGGCATGAAGCTGTAGGGGGTTGAAAACCGGGGGTCGTCGAGCAGGGGGAGGGTCCAGATGGTGGTTGGGAGACTGAGATTGTAGGTTGGACATACCACGCAATTGAGAGTTCTGCGAGTCTCTACGGAGTCTTCCAGCAAGCGTTAGCCTCGCAGAACCTGCTGCTCGAGTAGTTAGATTCAATAACGGAAACAGCGGCGTATGGGTCAGACCTTCCACGTACCAGCCGCCCGAGGGTGCCGATTCGCAGTGTCACGTAGCGAATTACAGGATCGCCCCTCTAGCCGAACCCGTACGCATGCTTTGTGATAACGTACGCATCCGGAATCTGCGCAAACAGGGGTTTGGTTCGCGGGTCGTGTTTTTCAAGGGTTGGGCCAACATGCTAGGCTCACCTCGCCAGAACTCTGATCTCCCTCATTCCGGTGTCCTTGTGGCCTTTCGCTGGCTGCCGTGGCATAGAACGTTTAGTTGGGGCGAGGCGTTCGAGGCAGCACCGGGACGAAAGAGGGGCGGAGGTAAGCGCAGAAGCGGGGGGGGGTGGGAGCAGTGACGGCTTGTGAGACTTTCGTTGCGTGTCTGAGCGCCGCATGCAGTGCCAAGTACATGAGGTTGTCTCTCCGCCCACGAAAGCATCTAACGACCAAGCCCAACGCGATCATTCATCCCAAGAAAGTTCAATGCCTCAACGCACGTCTGCTAGGAGGCGTCACCTTGTTGAGAGTCTTCAGCACCAGTCCCTGTCCCAAGCCGGTCCGGGCGAAGTGGCCCTGAAGCTGTTCGTCGACGATCTTCAGGTCGAACACGTTTCCGCCTCCTCCGTCGCCCAACACCCTTCCCTTCTCGGTGGCTACCATCCCACCGCCGTCGCGGCCGCCGTCGCCTCCTGCACCTCCGCTTCCTCCGTCGCTACCGCTCAGTGGGAGTAGCGACGCCAGGAACCCGGCCCCGTTGAACCTGTCGAGAACCTCTCGGCGAGCAGACGCCAGGCAGTCTTCGGCCCTCCAGGAGGGGGCGCGGCTAACGCCTTTACTCTCGAGGCCGATCGCACCTCCCTGCTGCTTCTGCTGCGACGGCGGCGGCGGCGGCGGCGGTGGGAGGGAGAAGGGGGCGCTGGGCCCATCAAAGCCATCGCCAGGGTTGTCGCCGGCGTCGTTCCCGTCATACGTGAAAGAGCCATCGTAGGAACTATCAGATACGAGTGAGGGGCAGCCTGAAGAGACTCCTATCGAAAGCTTCTCCCCCCCGTTGTCGTCGTCATCGTCATTGCCTTCGTCGTCGTCATCGTCGTCACCATCGTCGTCGTCGGTGCTCCCCTCCTCGCTCCCCTCAGACGTGTTCGAGCCAGAGCACGAACCGGACGCGAGTGCGGGGCTGAGCTTCTCGTCGCGGTCGTGGCCGTCAGAGTCGTCGTCGTCGTCGTTGCCGCGCTTATCGTCCCCGCCGCTGCAGGAGCCAGGTGAGACAGGAGAGGGAGGGCCTGGCGAGATGCGTTTGGAGGGCTCTTGGTGGTGGCCGTTATCGCCGCCGCCGCCGCCGCCGCTTTTGTTTCCGACCTCCTCGGAACGGGGACAGCCCGAAGTAACGCACGTGGGCTTGGACGACTCGTCCTTGTCGGACTCCGTCCCGGATTTCTGCCCTTTAAGCTCGGCGATATCACCGTAAGCCTGCAACAGTAGAACTTCCAGGCGGCTTCGCTGTCCGCCCAACTCAAGGTTCTGTTGGTGCGCCTGTTCGCGGGCGAAACACGTGTATTTGTGTAGGTGAGTTTCGCGAAGCGGTATCGGCGGAACTTGCACATTTCACAAAGCTTCAGGGGGTACCACACGGCATGGGCCAGCAGAAACATTACCTCTACCTGCTGTTGCCTTTCGAACTGACTCCATGAGCCCCATGAACCAACCGCAACGCGACGGTCGCAGTGGTGCGAATCCCAACTAAAGCCCAAAGGCATTGAGTTAACGAACGCCTTCAGTGCAAGCGAGCTCTACAACTAACGCATTGGGAGGGAACGTAGGATACGTACACTTTCTTGTTTTCTCGGTATCCCATGTGCATACGTGAACGGCAATGGACCGTTCTTCCCAACCGTACGGTCTTGCATATCAAAATGAAGCTCCGACCCCGGGGTCACGAAGGCAAGAATTCCTCTCTGACGCAGGCCTCCTTGAGCCCGAGAAAATGGTCAGCTGTTCCCTCCCGCGAGTGTGCTCACAGACAACAAGTGGTTTGTTTTGCTGACCACGAAATACGGACGGATACCCCTCGCTGATATTGGAACTCCGGACTCTCAACCCGGCCTCTAAGAACGTGTTGGAGCGGACTAATCACACCACGCAGAAGCGAGGTACGCGACACTTGATCGTCTTCGAAAGCAAGAACCGCCGTCCAACTACCCTACCCTGGACCTCTCTCTCTCTCTCTCCGCTACACACAAAGAGATCACCTTTTGCAACGCGTCCTCGTGCCTCTCGACGTCTTCCTCGTGCAGCTTCCGTTGCTGAACAAGGGCCGCGGCTAGCTTCTCCCGGTCGTTCAGGGCCCTGCTGAGGAGACCCTTGGTCCGCCTTAGCTCGGCAGATTTGTTAGTGCGAGGAAAGTCTTGCTGCGATCGTTTGCGAAGCGGACAGTCAGCGGGGCGGGGCAGCTGCTTTACCGCCGGGCGTATGCGGTGGTGGTGACTTCCTCCAGCATTCTCGTCATCGCGCTAAAAGGCAACGCAAGAGACCACAACGGGAAAGAGGCGTCGGAATTATCACCTGGTTGTTCACACAAAAAAGACAACGCTAGTGTATTTTTTTGGAGCTAGCTCACCTGAATAACAACAATAATACAGCAACAATAATGGCAGTATCAACAGCGGTAAAACCCCGGAGGAGTAAACAACACCGATCAGGTTGAATCACCTTCGCCAGGGCAATGGTACCCGCTGCAGCTGCTGCAGGTTCCATTGCCGCCGCCGCCGCTGCTGCCGCCGCGACAACGCCATTATGACCAGGCCGCGAGAGCTCGCAGGCTCGCTTGCAAGTGTCTCCTCCACGCACACCCCGTCGTGCCCGATTTGCTGCCGCCGCCTTCATCTGACCGTCACGTGGAACTCCTCGTTCGCTAGCACTACTCCTGAGCGGCGCCCCGCCCGGGCGAGCGATGAAGGCTAAGCCCCGCGATCGTACTCTTGCCACGGCGTTGGCGCTTGCCTGCGCATTTGGTCGACCGGCATTGGCAACGACCGGTTTCTGGCGGTTGCTGCCCTGACAAACCGTAGAGCTGCGACCATCCCTAGTTTCCACCACGTGGCCTTCCTTCACGAGGTGTCCACCACCTCGCCCACCTCCCCAGCCCCCCTCTCCCTTGCCCACCTTGAGAGCAGAGCACATCCTGCTGCTGCTGCTGCTGGGACCGCCTGGATATGACGCCGCCTTGTCGGCGGGGGCGGCGGAAACTGACTTGACGCCAGGTGCAGGAGTGCCAGTCCCGAGAGAAGCAGGCACTACGACACCGGGCGTAGCAGCGGCACCGTCGATGTTCTGCTCCTTGTGTGAGGATGCTGATGCTTTGCCCGGCTCGATCACGTCGCCTGCAGTCGCACCGACCTCGGCTGCGGTCGCGGTGGCAGGGGAAGCAGGGAACTCGTGCTTGCTTTCGTCCGCCGTAGTCGTGACCGCGATCGCTATCGCCGGTTTAGCTTTTGCCCCCTCGAGCGAAGACTTGACTCCTGTGTCTGCCCCGGCCACTTCTCTCGCCGTCGAGGCCGGCAGTCCGCCGTGAGGAGTGACGTCTTCTGTGGCGACGGCGGCGACAGTGGTGGCTGAGTCGGTAGCTGAGGTGGCCACTGCCTTAGCCGTGCCGCCTTTGTCGCCACTGGTCGCCGATGAAGAAGAAAGAGAAGGAGAATCGCTTCCCGCCTCGCCGTGCAGCTCCTTGACCAACGCCGTGAGCAGGATGCTAAGCTCCTTGCACACGGACGCCGGGTTCGATCCCCCCATGCCGAAGCGTTCGAGCAGCGTCTGCTTCGTGGCGGGAGCGGCTCTCGCCGCGTTGTCGAGGAGCTCGAGCACAGCCTGGTCTTTGTTCATGCGCTGGTTGCTGACTTGCCTCGCCCATGTAGAAATGGTGTTGACGGCGCCGCGGCTGCGATCGGCAGCAGACGACTGTTCCAGCTGCCGCACCTTCATGGAGGTGGGCGAGAACCGGTGGGTCAGGGCGAGGAGGACAATAGCCTTGCCGATGTCGAACAGCCGACTGGAAACCTTCGCAGGCCTGAAAAGAGAAACACAACAAACAGGACGCGGACGTGCGCGCGGGCAGGCAACGATCGTGTTTGTCACCGGAAGCGAACGAAATACTTTTTCTTCATGGACTGCGACCCCATGTGCAACTTCCGCGTTGTCACTTTCACGCACGCAAGTTAAACTTCAACTCAGGAAGACATTGTAGTTGCTGTCGGGCATCAAAGACACCGCTCAACACCAACGTCCGGAGAGTTAGTACGGCAAGAATCAACCAGAAAGCCGCCCGGAACTAATGCACGCCGCCGAGGGTAAGCGACCCACAATGATCAGAAAATCGTAGGCTGTCCTTGACCGCCTGATGGCGGTGGATGGCAGCTTGTCTGCGCTGGTTGCTGACGGTAGACGATGAAGCATACGTCCGTGTGAAAGCGGCGCTGTCTGTGGTATTCAGGAGCGTTCTTGGAGCTTGGGACTCCGGCGCCCACGGCGAAACATCGGCGCTGCTTGCTTGCAATGCGACGTTAACGGTGTTACTGGCGCTTAGTCGTTTCAATAAATGTTTACCGTACTACGACCCCCACACCGCAAAACCCTTTGTCGGTGTAGCCTACGGTCGGTAGACATAGTGATTGGTTTCTACAAACTACCGACATTTGACAGGAGAAACTAATCCGTCGCGAAGAATCGATTTTTCCTAGACAGCAGGGGAAGTGCGAAAGGCTGAAGTGCTCACGATTTAAGAATGTTGGCGACCACCGAAAGGGCCTTCGTCAGGCGACGGACGTCGTTTTTGTGATGAAACCGGGACACCGTTGTTGCCGTCGGTGGTGCTGCCGGAATAGGTCCGGGGGCGAGACGGGGGCCCGCCGGAGTACCGGTCGAACGGGGTGTAGCACTGTCGGACGTCATCATCCGCTTTGACAAAATTTCGTCGCGTACCTGAGAGATACGGCGGTGTGTGGGATGAAAACGGCTTGACTAAAACATGTGCGTGCATGCTCTATCTACACCGATATTGGTTGTGGCGAACGGACGAATCATGGTTTCCCAGGATGATCGGGTGGTGTCGAATTCATGCAGTGTCGTTGAAAATGCGTACGTACGTAGAACACTGGAGACTCTCGTCCTATGATACCATGGCGGAGTCAAGGGCACGATGCTGATCCTACACAGGTGGAGGTCGAACCCCCTCCCCCAAAATGTTGGATGCCCTCGCCCCCTTTTGGAGACCTCGACAAGGTCGAACACCTCGGGGAAGACAACCAACACCTGAATATGCTA